AAATAAGTCCTAGCATGATTTTTGAGGATGCTCGTAATATAAGCCCTACCCCAAACATAAGCCCCAGTTAAGATCATCAGCCAGACATGACTGTTTAAATAAATGTAGATTTTTGTACATGAATAAATGAATAAATGTAGATTGTTGGAGCAAAATTTTGTATAAGACCCGGTCTTATTTTCAAGGAAAACACGGTATCTGAGAATCTATCTGTTGTGTCGTTAATTTCAGTTATTGTGTTCTTTTTTTTATAGTGCCAAGATTCTCTGTATTGTCATTTAAATTCTTATAATAAGTTCTTCTAAAGTCTTATTTGGTATTTGAATCTTCTGTGGTCCTTTCTGATGTCTGCTTTTTTTGTTTGTTATTGGTTAAACATTTTCTTCTTATATTGTTTATTGTTTATTGATTGTTTATTGTTGTTTTGCTTTTCTGTCAGACAATGGGAGAAAAAAATGTAACAGTGACGTGAAGCTCTGAATGAAGGCATCTTCCTCCAAAGAGGCTTTCCTTTTGCGTCTGGCAGGCAGCTAGGATAGGGGCAGATTACCTTTGTCCAGTTGGAGTTAACATGATTCTGAGGTGGTTATCAGGTCTTATGAGGGCTGCTTTGTTTCTGATTTGCCCTGTATCCTAATATGTAGCCTTTGGGATCCCAACCAAAAGCCTGAGGCATGTATTAGGGCCCCTCTACTTTGGAAAGCCCCGAATTTCAGTTTTTCTCTTTCAGGCCTGAGAGACCAGTAACTTCTCCCAGCCTCTCAGCAGCAGCTTTTACTTTGGGAATTGGGAATCCCCACAAGGGAAAAGTAGACCAAGTGTGGGGCTCACCTCTCGGCACCTCTTTTCTGTCTTGTCTCCACAATGTGCCCTGGTAGCTCTTCATACTGCCATACCTTCAAGCAGATGTATTTCATATTTTTTCAGCATTTTCTACTTATGCTCAGCAGGAGGGTTGGTCTAAAACAATGTAGTCAGCCACTGCCTAAAACATGGTCAGATTTTGTTTAAAAGAACCTTCACTCCTGGTGGAGCTTGTGACCCACTGCAAGAAATATACTCACTGATAGTAATAGCTGCTAGGTGTTCTTTTGTAAATAGTTACCAGTCCCCTATGGGTGTGTGATATTTGAAGATATGATAAGTTCTGAGAAGTAGGTCTTAGGAAGGGGAGATTAAAGTAATATGAAAGTTATTTATGTTGAAGCTTCTCTTTGAAAGAAATGTATAGTGAAGTAGTAAATATCCCCAGTAATCAATATAGATTTGGTGCAAGTGGTAGCTTAGATATTTGACTTCATTGTATTCTTCCAGAAGAATACTGGTAAGTACCCAAATCTAGAAGATGAGTTACGGAAAGTGAACTGTTCTCCTATCCTGCCTCTTTGTGCATGGCATTGACACATCCGTGTGTCGTACAAGACTTGTCATTTTCCAAAGTAGGCTATTTACCCTAGCCTTCAAAACATCACTTCTGACACACTGTCCCTTATTATTCCTTTATTTATAATCTATATTTAAGCCAAACCAGAGTATTATCTTCTAAGAGCGCCTAATACTTGCCTGCTTCCTTCCCTTTCCTTGTTCTGTTCTCCATCTGGGATGATGTGTCCATCCCCCACTGTAAGTGTATAAAGGTCTGTCTTTCTTCGGGTGTTTTGTTTTGTTTTGTTTTGTTAATCAAATTATGTACCATCTCAAATGTCCATGACCTCCATCCTTTATTGATTCCTCTAGCCAAACTCAGCTTACTCTCTTTCTTCTTGGGCTCCTTTTTAGAGACCTCTTTTATCTTTTGACTATTAAAATTTGTGTACTGTCCAATCTTTTTTCCAGATCGTAAATTCCTTTTTTTAAAAGATTTTGGGGAATTGGGAGAAGGGAACAGTGTTGGGGAATTGGAGGAGGAGAACAGCCAAGTTGTTGTCCTTCAACCTTAGTTGTGGAGGGCACAGCAAGCTCAGCTCTAAGTCCAGTCGCGCCACTCAGCTCAAGGTGCTGTGTTCACTTAGTTGCGGGTGGGCATAACCACCATCCCATGTGGGAGTCAAACCGGCAACCTTGTTGTTAAGAGCGCACACACTATCCCCTGAGCCACCCAGGCAGCAGCTTACCTCAAGGTGCTGAGTTCAGTCTTTAGTTGTGGGCAGGCGTAGCCCACCATCTCAAACAGGCAACCTTGTTGTTAGGAGCACATGCTCTCACCAGCTGAGCCATCCTGCCACCTGTTGGCAGCTCAGCTCGGGCGCAGCTCACTGGCCCATGTGGGAATCGAACCGGCGACCCTGTTGCTCAGAGCTCGCACTGTTGAGCAAGCTCTTAACCAACTGAGCCACTCAGCCAGTCCCAGATCGTAAATTTCTTGATGGTGGAAATGGTCTTGCTTATCTTTGTGTTCTTTGTAAAGTATAAGTGTATAAGTACCTTTTTATGACATAGGAGCTTGGCAAATAAGAATTGAATTGCAATGCAGAACTAAATTGACTATCAAATACATAGATTGACTATTTCTTTTTGTGACTTGTTATATCTTTTGCCCACTTTTCATTTGATATGTTCATTATATTTATATGGAATTGCACATTTTCCATTTTGACATATTGAGGATATTAACTCATCACTTTAATTGAAAATAATTGCGGGCCGGCCGAGTGGCGCGTTGGTTAAACGCTGGCTTGGGATGCCAGAGGGCCCCGGTTCGGATCCCACATATGCGGGCCAGTGACACTGCCCTCTACAGCTAAGATGCTGAACAACAGCTCAGCATGGAGCTGGGCTGCCGTGAGTCGCCAGCGACAGTGTAGGCTGCAGCCCCTGCTGCAGTGGGTTGCCATGCGCTACCGTGTGTAGCCAGCAGCCAGCGTGAGCGGCTGTCCAGAAGCCAGCAACTGATCTGCCTTGCCCAGGAAGAACGCAATGATGGTGCCAACTTGGGCCAGTGAAGCAACGTCCTCCACAACTAGACTGAAGAACAAAAGGACAGCAACTTGCCTGTTTCCCTTCCCCCAATTCCCCAGCACTGTTCCCATCCCCCCAATTCACCAATAAAAATCTTAAAAAAAATAAATAAATAAAATAATTGCTTTTGGGCCGGCCGAGTGGCTCAGTTGGTTAAGAGTGCAAGCTCTGAGCTACAGGGCTGCCGGTTCAATTCCCACATGGGCCAGTGACACTGCATCCGAGCTGAGCTGTCGCTGAGCTGCCAACAGCTGGCAGGATGGCTCAGCTGGTGTAACAACAAGACTGCCTGTTTGATGGTGGGCTGCGCCCACCTGCAACTAAGACTGAACTCGGCACCTTGAGCTGAGCTGCCACCTGGATGGCTCAGTGGATAGAGCGTGCGCTCTTAACAAGAAGGCTGCTGGTTCAACTCCCGCATGGGATGGTGGCTACACCCACCCGCAACTAAGATTGAACACAGCACCTTGATCTTAGAGGCCACGAGCTGCCGACGGGCAGCCAGATGGCAACTGGCGCCCTCCACAATGAAGATTGAAGAACAACAACTTGGCTGGTCCCCTTCCCCAATTCCCTAACACTATTCCCCTCCTCCAATTCCCCAATAAAAATCTTTAAAAAAAAATAATAATAATAATTGCTTTTTAGTTTTGTTTATGGTTTTGTTTTGTTTTGTTTGGGTATTCTTGTTTGCTTCCTGTTCACATTTATTTTTATCTCTATTTTATGGAAACATTAGTGTGGTTGAAAATTCAAATGGTACAGAGGGTGTACAGTAAAGTCTCCTCCCCACCTGACAATATTTTTCTATAGGGAAGTTCTTAGTTTATATGTAACACAGTTTCCTTTCTTTTGTTTCTGGCATAGACAGTCTTTTCCATACCTTGTGTTATTTAATGACTCATCTATTTTTTTATAGTTTTTTTGTTTGATATACTGTTTATATGTACAGTGTTATTACATCTGGATTGTGTGTGTATGTACAGTCTATGAAGTAGAGATAGAACATTTTCCTGCCTAAGTGTTGAACCAGGTTGTCTTCATCCCTTGCGAAACATTCGAATCACCTTTGGCACTTTGTTAAAAGTGCAAGTTGTGAAGCCCAAGCATTTTTTTCCCCCCAAATGACTGTCCCTTCTTGTTCTTTACCTGAGAGTAACATTAAAAACAAAACAAAAAACTTGTTATGGATTTCAGCATTTATCCCAAGTTCATTCTGAGCCTTGGGTTTCCTGATATTAGTCTTAAGGAACTGTTCTACTGTTTTACCACCTGTCTGATTTTAAAGCCTTCTTTTCCTCTTTTAAGCTATTAAGTATTGTTGTCTCTCTGTTTGTGCGTCTATGATGCAACTGTTAAAGAGTAAGAAATCCCTAGAAGCTCTCAGGAGGAAAAATGTGATAGTTTAGTACTTTGTAATTCGGCTAAAGACTTATTTGTAGAGATCTTGCTCCTTCTCAGTTACTTAGCTGCTCAGCCCCTTTGAAGGAGGTGGAGATGAAAATAGACCACCTTTGCTATAAAGGGACTCTGCCTGGTAGAAAAGACAGATGTATGGATAATTATAAAGATAAAACTATAGCTGTTGTAAAAGTAATAAATGTCATGACAGCATATTTTAAAAAATAAAATTAATAAGTAAAATTGAAAATTTAATGAAAGCAAGACTAGTTTACTGGCTTATCTTGACTGGAACAGTTTAATTTACTTTTATCTTTTCCGTAGACAATATAAATTTGTATGCATCACTGCTCTAAACCATTCCTGAATGTAACATTCTACTCTTTACTATCTACAAAAAGTACATTCATTCCTTCTGCATTTATTAGTTAGCATTCTATTACGTTTTCAGACTTTTTCATCCCATAGTTAATACTGGCAATTGACTTTCTTTTCAGGAGCCTCTCTTCACAAATAAATATTTTTTAGTCATTTAAAAGGAGACATCATATGCAGTGATGAATAGAGCCACAAAATTATATTGATGGTCAAATGCTAAACTGTCACCTAGGACAGTCATGTTGCTTTTGTTTGACTTGTAGCTATGGAAGAGAAGTGGTCCCAGTTCATCACCCTTCTCCAGCCCAGCCTCCTCCCGCTCCCAGACACCAGAGAGGCCAGCAAAGAAAATAAGGTAATCAGTTATTATTTGCTGTGTGGATTAATGAAAGGCCTTAGGCTTTCTGCAACTCTGATTTGGAGACTCAAATAAATTAACATCTAGAAGGACAGTGAAGTCCCCACCTGAATTGCCCTCATCTCTTACAGTTCTTGCCGTACTGGCTGTAGGGGCCTCTGATTCTCTTCCTTACACTGCACGAGTGATTAGGGTGTAAGTGAAGGCCACACAAGGTAGACTAAACAGAGTGAATAATGTCGGCGGGCAGTAGACTTCATGTTCTTGACTCCAGCTGACCCTGTTAAGTACCTGCAGTCGACTAGGACACCACTCTCTTAGGGATCAGATCTGTGACTGGAACTCTCAGAAACATGGCAGGTCGTAAGTAAGGTTTTGAAGATAATTGTTTTGTACTTGTTTTTAAGACAAAGGCTTCCCTGTAGTTTCCATGAACTGCCGCCCTTCATTTCTGTGGGAATTTTCTTTTGACTTACTTTAGTTTTTGTCATGGCATACTGAGATCTCAAATCATGGCTGTTCTGGACTTTGGCCAGTGGTAGTTAGGAGGGTATAAGTTACCCAATATTCTTTGTCAGGAAGTCTTTCTAAATTGAATTCTGTGTTTCCTCCTACAGAGAAGAGGAACTTTCTCATCACTCCAGTTCCTCGACTCCATTAGTAGCTGACAAGGAGTCCCAGGGAGAAAAGGGTAAGTTGATAAACACACGAGAGTGGCTTATGGTGGTGGTAGAAGAATTTATGGAGGATATATAAAGACTACTCCCTGTTGGAAACACCCTCTCAGCATTGCTGTGTGAAGGGCCTTGCAGATACAGATAGACGTTCCTGTCCTTCAGAGGTTTACGGTCTGGTAAAGGAGAAAGGTGATATACACAAATACAATGTAACCCGGGGTAACTGGGATGGGGTAAGCTTAGGGTGAGGTATCTGTGAGTAACCCAGGAATTATTTCCAGCAGTTGCATGATGTACCTGGAATAATTCTCTCTTTATGTCCTCTCAGCTATTAGAAATAATCTTGCAAACAGCACCAAGAGCCCACACCATGGAAGATAGAGTCTTTCAGATATCCAGTGAAAATTCAGTGTTAACCAGGTAGATAGACACACCTGTCCATTTCTGGAAGAGGGAAGAAAGAAATCAAGTTTCTATTTCTTTCTTTAGTTGTAGATACAACCACATGGAAGAAACAGAACTTGTGGAGTTCCCCGTCTCCCCCGGGCAGCTCTGGGCAACGTAAACGGAAGATCCAGCTGCTTCCCTCCAGGCGAGGGGACCAGCTGACGTTGGTATGTTCTTGTCCGTCTACCCCTGCCCACCCAGCTTAGCTTTTCTAAGTCTTAGGAAAGCTAAATATAGATTTCTTTCAGTTTCTTTTTATTGATTTGACTTCTCCTTTTTCTCTTGTGTAGCCTCCACCACCCCAGCTTGGTTATTCAATAACTGCTGAAGACCTGGACTTTGAAAAGAAAGCTTCATTACAGTGGTTTAACAAGGTCTTGGAGGATAAGACTGGTAAGGAATACAGATCAGTTTCACACGCCGGAGTGGGTTGGTTTCCTTTGGTTTTATTTTGGTCTTTCATCTGAGAAATCCATCTGGGACCTCAGTGGAATCTGGGGGACAGTGAGCATTTCCAGATGAGTTATACTGAACCCCTGAGCGTCCTCGTGCTCTGCAGTATGCCACTGGAAAGAATTCCCAAACCGAGGGGACAACTGAATCTTCTTTCTTCCTTAGATGCCACCTCAAACTCTGTCACTGAGAACCCACCCACCACTCAGCCTTCTTTTACTTTTACCCTGCCTGCTGCTGCGACTGCTTCCCCCCCAACCTCCCTCCCAGCCCCAAGCACTAACCCGCTGTTGGAGAGCTTGAAGAAGATGCAGAATTCCCCGGGCGTCCCATCCTTCCCAGGTGAGTGGCAGAGCCTCCTTTAGAGCATGTAATGACACCAGCCTTTGTTGAGGTTGAACTGAAAGCATCATGCCTGCCCATCACCAGACACTGTAAGGGTTAAACCTACTCTGGCTGACCAAACCTGAGCTGGTACAAGCTTAAGAGCTTCAGGATTCTCTAAGCAAGATGTTTGAGGGAAGAGGAGCTGGAACTCTTAAAGCTGGGGAAGGCAGCTTAGTTTGGGTGGTCAAATGGTTCTTAATTTGAAACCCAGTTTCTTAGCTGCTGTGAGCCTTGCTGTCATCATCTGTAAAATGAGAATAAAGCTTGCTTCATGGGGTGTTGCTGAAATGTAAATGTGGTCACATGGTTAAAATGTCACATGTTTATTAGGCCACAGGCACAAGATACTATTACTTTTCCCTTTAGGTTTTCCCCCATGCCTTCATGGCAGTATATATACACTCCTGTTACTGCACTTTATCATGTAGAAGTATGTTAGCTATCGGCCTGTTTCAGGGCTCAAGGACAGAGACTATCTCATTGATGGTTATATGCTCTGCACTTAGCCTTAGCACATGGTGAGTGAATGTAGTAAATCTTTGTTAGATAAGTAAGGTGTAGCTAGGTCAGGGGTCGGCAAACTGCGGCTCGCAAGCCACATGCAGCTCTTTAGAGGGTACATTCGTCTCAAAAGTTTGCCAACCCTGGAAGAGCCAATCCTGTCCCTCACAACAATTTAAAAATTATTCGAGAGCCATAAATATATTTTTACATGATCACCGTTGTGTGAATAATATCCTTTAAAAATTTTATAAATGAAACTATGATAGTTTTATTTTCATTTTCAATTTTACTTCAGAGCCTGCGGCTCGTGAGCTGCACTTTGCTGATCACTGGCGGCTCTTCCGTCTCAAAAGTTTACCGACCCCTGATCTAGGTAATTAACGAGTTCAGTTGATTGGCTTTTCCTTAGTTTCCACACATTTAACCTCAATTAGGCCCAGTTTTATCCCCTTCTATCTTATGATCTGTGAAGGGTCGAAATAATGAACACTTCCTTGATTTTAAGGAATGACTAAGGGCCTGTGGTAAGATTTAGCCATATTTGTTGACTGACTTGAATCCTTAGCAGTGTGCCGGGCATAGCGGGGATACAGAAGCACTAAATACCATCACATGCGAGGTGATCAGAATTCACTTTCTCTGCTCTTCTTGCAGACTCTGCTGAAGTGGCACCCACTGTGGCCCCTTCGCCACCGAAGACACCCAGCCTCCTCGGCGTTCTTGGCTCTTCACAGTCAGCGCCCCTTCCAGGCACCTCCTCAGACTCCAAATCCACAGTCACTTTCTTGGGGCTGACCCCTGCTTCCTCCACAGTGTCAGTCACTGACACCACCAAGTCACCTCTGGCCACTCAGGCTGAGACAACTGCCAAATCCCAAACCCTGCCTACCACATTCCCCACCCCCAAGCCAAGTATTCTGTCTGGAATGCTGAGTACCCCACCTGCTAACCCTTCTGCCCCTACAGCTCCTGCTGTGTCTTCAGCATCTCCCAAGTTCAAGCCCATTTTTGGGGTCCCACCTAAAAGCGAGAATGAGGGCCCCTTGCCATCTAGCCCTACCAAGGTCACAGCCACACCCTCTTCCAGCTCTGCCCTCCCCACAACTACCAGCACCTCATCGGTCACTTTCAAGCCTATCTTTGGCAGCATGGGGCCACCTACATCTGTGCCCTTGTCAACTCCCTTCTCCTTCATTCAAACAACTACTCCAGCCACAACCACAGTCGCCCCTGTCTTCACTGGCCAGGCCAGTGCCACCTCAACAGTGGCTTCTGTCACCACCGCCAGCACCTCCACAGACTCGGCTTCGAAACCTGTCTTCGGCTTTGGTGTGAGCACTGTGACCAGCGCCATGGGCAGCGTGACTGGCACCACCACTTCCACGTCCCAGCCTTTCCTCTTTGGGACTCCCCCTGCCTCTGGTGCCAGCTTTACCCCAGCCATGGGCTCCATATTCCAATTCGGCAAGCCTCCTGCCATGCCTACTTCAACAGCAGTTACCACCTTTGGCCAGTCCCTACCCAGTGCCGTGCAGGCAGCCGCCAGCAGCAGTAGCAGCACCGGTTTTAGTGGTTTTGGCAGCACCCTGACAGCCTCAGCCCCGGGCACCGCCAGCCAGCCTACACTGACATTCAGTAGCACCACCACCCCAGCATTCAACATTCCTTTCGGCTCAAGCACCAAGACCCCTCTCCCATCATACCCAGGAGCCACCCCCCAGCCTGCATTTGGGGCTGCTGACGGGCAGCAGCAGGGGGCTACCAAGCCAGTGCTCGCCCCCAGCTTTGGCAGCTCTTTCGCTTTTGGAAACTCTGCTGCCCCGGCCCCAACGGCAGCACCAGCGCCAGCGCCAGCCCAGCCAGCCTTTGGCAGCACTGCGCAGTCAGCTTTTGGTAGTTTGAAAGCCACAGCCTCTTCCTTTGGCACCCCTGCCAGCACCCAGCCAGCCTTTGGCAGCACCACACCTGTTTTCTCCTTTGGTGCAGCCACCACCTCTGGTTTTGGAGCTACAACCCAGACCACCAGCAGCGGTACCAGTAGCTCAATGTTTGGCAGCACAACACCGTCACCCTTCACCTTTGGGAGCTCGGCAGCCCCCACTGGCAGTGGGGGTTTTGGGACCAATGTTGCCACCCCAGGCTCCACCTCCACCTCTGGAGCATTCAACTTCGGAGGAGGACAGAGTGGGACCACCGGCGGCACTGCCCCATTCGGGGGGGTCCTGAGTCAGAACACCCTGGGCATGCCCAGCCAGAGCACAGCCTTTGCCTTCAGTGGGGCCAGCACACCGGAGAGCAAGCCCGTGTTTGGAGGTGAGGCTGGGATTGGCTTGGTCTGGGGTGCCAAGTGCTGTCTCAGAGAGCTTTACATTACGGTTGTGAAGAGACGGGTGTTAAATACATAACTACAGTGTCAGGTAGTGATCAGTATCGTTAAATTGTGGGATTACTGACTGAGGAGGAGCTCTTCAGGTAGTCTGGGAAAGCCTTTCTGAGGAAATACATTTAAGCCAACACTGTGACAAAGGGGTTGCGAGTACAGGTGGGTAGTTGTGTGAGAGAGAGCTTTGCAGGCACAAGAGATAGTGCAGAAGCCCAACGACAGAAACAAGCGTGGTATGCTCATGGACAGAGCAAAGCAAGGGGTGGCTACAAGTTTAAAAATGAAAACGGTAAAAATGTTGAGAGAGGCAGAGCGGGAGATCATTCATGGCCAAGAGTAAATGTTTGAATTTCGGCACTAAAGGTAATCATCATCACTAGAATTTCAAGCAGAAGGGTCTTATTTACCATGTGGAAGATGAATTAGAAGTTTCGATCCTGATAGCTTCTGTTTTCTTCATAAAATATGAGAGAAGACCTTGGGGAGCGGGTTAGGGTGAAGTGTGTACAAAGGGAGCGTCTGGAAAGAGTCATTTTGGAGAGTGGAACGGGAAGGCACTGACAGAATGGAACAGAACTGCCAGGCAGTTTTGAGAGTTAGTAAATGGTGGTTATGAATTTCAATGAGGCCAGTTAGCACGGTTTTTTTCCCCCAGAAACATTTGGTTACTGAGGTATAGACCTGAAATAAGTGGGTAGCTGGTAAAATCCAACTGCTTTAAACTCAAGCAAGTGTAGCAGGAGGGGCAGTGGACTTGGTCTTGGTGAGGTTAGAACAATGAGCTGGAAGAAAGAATGCAGTACTTAAGAGTGGGGATTTGGGAGGGAAAGCAGTTCTGGTGGTGACAAGGTTTGACTGTGGAGTGGGTGGCAGAGATTGAGGAGAGGAAGAGATTGGGGTGGCAAGGCCAGGCCCTCAGGGAGCAAGAAAGCTCCCTGCCTCACATCAGGCCGAGACAAGTGCACATGAGATGATGCAGCCTTCCCTGAGGGGCTGCAGGGAGAGCAGCAGGACTGTGAGGGCAGGGAGATTGCCGAGTTCCAGGGCCTCGTGGGTGGGCCACAGAACAGGATGGAAGTAGTTGTTGATTTTGGTGGAAGCCTCAGGTTTCTGGACAGGAGGGGACAGGTAAACAGGGAGAAAAGGCTTATGAACACGATTAGTCCTAATAGAAGGGAGGAACCTGGTCAAGCTAGAAGGTGGGGGTCCACTGACAATCACCCTCTGCTGTGCTCTGGTGGCCGAGGGAATGAGGAAGGTGGACTCCTCAGGTGGCCAGAAGGCAACACTGAGGGGCTTTTTCTCGCCACAGCACAGCAGTTAGCAGGTTCACCTGGGGCACCAGGTGTTAAGACTTATCCTGTGTAGTTCCTTATGGTGGGTGACCCAAACAGCAGTCCAGGGCTCAGGTGTCCTGTAGGGAGTGCCCCCACAGAGCAGACCTCCTGCCTAGGTTCATTACCATCTGCTTTAATGCCCTCTGCTCACTAGCCTAGTCTCTACAGTTCTCTATTGCCTCTTTATTCCAGGCACCTCCACACCCAACTTTGGTCAGAGCACCCCTGCCCCTGGGGTAGGCACATCGGGCACCAGCCTCTCCTTTGGGGCATCCTCAACACCCACCCAAGGCTTTGTTGGAGTCGGACCCTTCGGTAAGCTTGGCAAGTCCCTTTGTTGCCCGTGTGACCTGCTTATTCGTTCCTCTCTGAAAAAAGGGTGGGGTGGGGTGGGGTGGCAGGTTCCTGGCTCCGAGGCCTCTGGGGAAGATCAGGCTCATAGAAGAGAAAGATGTGGCCTGGCTGAGGGTCCAGCACAGCCCAGGTCTGGAGTTGGCAGTGGTGGTCAGAGAGGAGCCACCTTAAGCAGAATTTCCCAGATCACTGGGAAGCCAGGTAAAAATGCCTTCCTGGGCCGCCTCCTCCAGACTGATTCTGGGGTTTTGCCTTTTTAATAGGCCCCTCCCCCAAAGCAATTGCTATAGCCTGGAAGCCCTGTTCAAGCACCCACAATTCTGTGGGCCTAACTTTCCGGAGATTAGGGCACCCAAAGAAGTGTTGTCAGGTAGCAGCTGTCCTGATGAGATCTTGTTGCATCTTTCCAGGATCGGGCGCCCCTTCGTTTTCAATTGGTGCAGGATCCAAGACCCCAGGGGCTCGACAGCGACTGCAGGCCCGAAGACAGCACACCCGCAAGAAATAGCCTTTGTCCCTTGCCTCCATTCCCCCCACCCCTTGCCCCAATCTGGACTTTGGCACCTGCTAGGAAGAGCCTCTGATCTGTCTAGTACCACAAAGCAGACCTACCCTAGAACTCTGGCTTCAGCCTGGGGAGGTAGTAGCCGTCCTGGGGCCACCCCACCCCCCACCCCCTACTGCGGAAGCAGAGCCTCAGGCCTCTTGGAGATGGGCAGGATGTGGCAGGGCAGAAGCCTGATACCTTTACTTGAACAGTTCCACTGGTGAGGCTGGAGAGAATTAAAGAAACATCTGTACATATCATCCACTTCCTTCCTGACTTTAGTATATAAGCTCAGTCAGGCAGCCTCCCCGCCGCACCCCCCCACACACCCCG